AGGAATACAGAGAATTTCAGAATATCAAATGTGTAAATAAACATGAGCTAAAACAAACACATTTTCTTTGAATGAAGAAAAAAGGGACTGGGAAGACACACCTGAGAGATATGTGAGTACAAGAGAGGTAATTCCAAGGTGGGAATTAAAATTAAATTTATTTCAATCAAAGCTTACATTAGAACAATGAAGTCTGAATAATGAAAAGGAATAAATTTTTAATGTACTTACTGGATGATAGGATTTCTTTTACCTGTAAAATCAATTGGCTGCTCAGGAGCATAATTTAAAAATGGAACAACATAGCCAGATTGACTCGCCCCCCAGACGACCAAGCAACCAGGAGCCTGCAGAGAGAGCTGGCCCATGTCTGCTCACACTCAGGGCAGAGAGCAGAGGTGAGCTCCAGGTCACCATCTTAGGCTCGAGTTCCTCCCGCTCACCCTCTCTCGGATCTCCTGGCCTGGGGACCATAGCCAGGTCGACTGGCCCCCAGAGGGACGACCAATTGACCAGGAGCCTGCAGAGAGAGTCAGTCTACTCCTGCCCACTCTCAGGGCAGAGGGCAGAGGACAGAGAGCAGAGGTCAGACATATTGGATTTACTTGCATGCACCGAAAGGGAACCCCCTGGTCGCCTACACACCAGGAGAGGAAGAGACTCTTTCCACATCCACTGGAAGAAGTGATGGAAAACAGGCAGTTTAAGAACACACTCAGCAACAGAAAAACAAATATGACACCACCAAAGTCTAAAGATTCTATACCAGCAAAACCTGAACACCCCAATGCAGATGAAGCAGAAGGTAATGACCTTAAAAACACCTTCATGAAAATGATAGAGGCCCTCAAAGAAGATATGAGAAAATCCCTTAAGGAAATGGAAGAGAAAACAAACTAAAAAATCCAACAAATGCAAGGAAAGGAGGAAAACATGAAGCAAAAATTACAAGAAGCAATTCAAACAGGGCAAGGGTTAAAAGCTGACATGGAGACAATAAAAAAATCACAGTCTGATGGAATGCTGGAAATAGAAAAACTGGGGAAACAGTCAGGTACTACAGAAGCAAGCATAACCAACAGAATACAAGAGATTGAAGAGAGAATCTCAGGTGTTGAAGACAAACTAGGAGAAATAGGTTTAAGACCAAAGAAAATCTTAAGTCCAACACAAAATATCCAGGAAATATGGGACACCATGAAAAGACCAAACCTAAGAATAATAGGTATAGAATAAGGTGAAGAAACCCAACTCAAAGGGGTAGAAAACATATTCAACAAAATCATAGAAGAAAACTTTCCCAACCTAAAGAAAGACATGCCATTGAAGGTACAAGAAGCTTACAGAACACGAAATAGAACGGACCACAAAAAAAGTCCTGTTGCCGCATAATAATCAAAACCCCAATCACACAGAATAAAGGGAGAATACTTACAGCAGCTAAGGAAAAAGGTCAAATAAAATATAGAGGCAAACCTATCAGAATTACACCTGACTTCTCCATGGAAATTCTGAAAGCCAGAAGGTCCTGGATAGATATTCTACTAACACTAAGGGACCAGGGATGCCAGCCCAGAATACTATACCCAGCAAAGCTTTCAATCACTATAGATGGAGAAAACAAGATATTCCATGACAAAACCAGATTTAAAGAATACATATCCACTAACCGAGCCCAACAGAAAGTTCTGAGAGGAAAACTCCAATCCAAGGAAGTTGTCTACAACCAGAAAAACATAGGAATTAGATAATCCCACTTTACCAATAGCCAAAAGAGAAAAGGGGTAGAAATCCATATACAATTCCACCAACAACAACCGTTCCAAAACAAACAAGAATGAGCAATCAAAGGTCATTAATATCCCTCAATATTAATGGTCTTAACTCGCCCATAAAAAAGCACAGGCTGACATAATGGATTTCAAGACAGAACACATCCTTCTGCTGCATACAAAAAACAAACCTCAACTACAAAGACAGATATTACCTCAGAGTCTTAACTCTTAACCCTTAGGTTGAGAAAAGATTTTCCAATCAAATGGACCCAAGAAAAAAGCAGGGGTAGCAATCCTAATATCTAACAAACTACACTTTAAACTGAAATCAATCACAAGAGATGAAGGAGGTCATCTCATATTAATCACAGAAGAAATCCATCAAGATGAAGTCTCGATTCTGAACATCTATGCCCCAAACACAAAGGCATCCACATTCGAAAAAGAAACATTACTAAAACTCAAACCACATATAAAGCCCCACACACTTGTAGTGGGAGAAGTCAACACCCCACTCTTACCACTAGACAGAATGCTAGCATGAACTCAACAAAGAAACAAAGGGTCTAGTAGAAGTATATAAAAAAAAGAATATACTTTCTTCTCACCACCACATGGAATCTTCTCAAAAATCGACCATATACTTGGCAACATATCAAACCTGAGCAGGTACAAAAAAATTGGAATAAGTCCATGCATCTCATGAAAATTGAATAATGCAAAACTGCACCATTCCTGGGTCAAAAAAGAAATAAAAAATAAATTAAAACTTCCTAGAATTCAATGAGAATGAAGACACAACATACCCAAACCTATGGGACACTTTGAAAGCAGTGCTATGGGGAAAGTACATAGCACTAAGTGCCCACATGAAGAAACTGAAGAATAGTTGTGCTAGAGAATAAACAGCACAGCTGAAAGCTCTAGAACAAAAAGAAGCAAATTCCGCCAGGAGGAGCAGATGCCAGGAAATAATCAAACTGAGGGCTGAAATCAATAAAGTAGAAACTAGGAAAACAATACAAAGAATCAATGCAACAAGTTGGTTCTTTGAGAAAATCAAGATAGACAAACCTTTGTCCAAACTTACCAAATGGCAGAGTGTGAACATGAAAATTAACAAAATCAGAAATGAAAAGAGGGACATAACAAAAGACTCTGAGGAAATGCAGAAAATCGTCAGGTCATACTTTGAAAACCTGTACTCCACAAAATTCAAAAATTTAAAGGAAATGAACAACTTTCTGGATACATATCACCTACCAAAATTAAATCAAGAACAAATAAGCAATTTAAATAGACCTATAAACCCTAAGGAAATAGAAGCAGTCATCAAAAGTCTCCCAAACCAAAAAAAAAAAAAAAATGCCCAAGGGCTTCATTGCAGAATTTTACCAGAAATCCAAAGAACAGCTTATACCAGTTCTCCTCAAAGTATTCCATGCAATACAAACAGAAGGGTCTTTGCCAAACTCTTTTTATGAGGCGTCAATAACATTGATACACAAGCCACACAAAGACACAACTAGTACAGAGAACGTCAGACCAATTTTCCTCATGAACACTGATACAAAAATATTCAATAAAATACTGGCAAATTGGGTCGAAGAACATATCAGAAAACTTATCCACCATGATCAAGTAGGCTTCATTCCAGGGATGCAGGATGGTTCAACATATGAAAATCCAACAATGTAATCCACCATATAAACAAGCTGAGAAACAAAAATCACATGATCATCTCTCTAGATGCTGAAAAATCCTTTGAGAAAATCCAAAACCCTTTCATGATAAAGGTTTTGGAGCAGCCTGGCGTTGGTGGCGCACGCCTTTAATCCCAGCACTTGGGAGGCAGAGGCAGGCGGATCTCTGTGAGTTAGAGGGCAGCCTGGTCTACAAGAGCTAGTTCCAGGACAGGCTCCAAAGCCACAGAGAAACTTTGTCTCGAAAAACCAAAAGGTTTTGGAGCAATTTGGGAAAACAGGAACTTACCTAAACATAATAAAAGCTATATACAGCAAACCAGCAGCCAACATCAAATTGAATGGAGTGAAACTCAAGGCAGTTCCTCTAAAATCAGGAACAAGACAAGGCTGTCTACTCTCTCCATACCTCTTTAGTATTGTACTCAAAGTTCGAGCTAGAGCATAAGACAACAAAAGGAGATCAAGGGGATACAAATTGGAAAGGAAGAGGTCAAACGTTTGCTATTTGCAGATGATATGAAGTTTACATAAGTGAGCCAAAAAACTCTACCAGGGAACTCTCACAGCTGACAAACACCTTCAGCAAAGTGGTAGGATACAAGATGAACCCAAGGCCTATTATATATAGACGATAAAAGGTCTGATAAAGAAATCAGGGAAACATCACCCTTTACAATTGCCACAAACAACATAAAATACCTTGGGGTAATGCTAACCAAACAAGTGAAAGACCTGTATCACAATAACTTTGGGTCTTTCAAGAAAGAGATTAAAGAAGACACCAGAAAATGGAAAGATCTCCCATGCTCGTGGATAGGTAAGATCAATTTAGTAAAAAGGGCAATCCTGCCAAAAGCAATCTACTGACTCAATGCAATCTCCATCAAAATCCCAGCACAATTCTTCATAGACCTTGAAAGAACAATTCTCAACTTTATATGGAAAAACAAAAAACACAGGATAGCCAAGACAACCCTGCTCAACAAAGCAACATCTGGAGTCATCACCATTCCTGACTTCAAGCTCTATTTTAGAGCTATAGTCCTGAAAACAGCTTGGTATTGGCACAAAATAGACAGGCTCTTGCGAGCTTCTTGGGCTCCTTATGAGGACAATGAAGCTGCTGCTTGTCCATGGCCAGGTTGACCCTGGCTATGCGCTCCCTCTCTGCATAAACAAATTCTCATTTTGCATCTACAGCCCTAGCCCACATAAGATTCTCAAGACGTTTGGACCCCAAAGAGAATTGGATCATGGGCCTCTTCCCATCCTTCCATGCAGAACTGTCTGGTTCCACCTCAAGGAAAGTTCTGAATTCTGACTTGAACCTAGGGAAATTCTGACCTTGCCATGGATCTCTGGCTACTAGCAGTGTGTTTGGCTTCCTCCCTTGGTAAGTCCAGGCCTGTTCTCCTGATACTTAGGTGGCTAAGGCCAAGGGGCAGTTCAAAGGCTACAATGTAGGTTCTAGATCAGCCTAGGAAAGTTAGAGACTGTCTCAAAACAGATATACACAATATATTTAACAAAAATTTTTTATTTCTTTGCAGTTTTTGTTTGATTTTGAGATGAGGTCTCAGTGTAGACCATTGTATCAAAATGTCAGCTACATCAATTTTTTCAGCTCAGATTGGTTTCATCCAGTAGAGCAAAAGGTCAGCATTCACCAGGCCTCTGCATAGGAGGGCATGATACTGAAACCAATCATTCTAGCATTAGGAAGTGAAGGCAGAAGCATTATGATTTTAAAGTCAGCCTGAAATTTATGAGCCTGTTTCAAAAAGAAAACATCAAAAGCAATGACTAACAAAAATAGACCAAGACTTGCAACCAAGACTGATGGATATGGTTTGGTTCTTACAATCCACATGGTAGGAGGAGAGGACTGCATCACATAGGCTGTCATCTGATTCCAAATTACACTCTGCATGTGCATGCACAAAGACAAGAATAATGAACTAAACCTTAAGAAAGAGATAAAAACAATCTTGAGATGGTTCCACAGTTCAGTGCCTGGTGTGGAGCACACAGAGAACATTGCTGCTTCACTAAGTTCCAGTATTTTAACATTGCAGACCACAATCCTCCAGCATTTTTTAATTTCATTTTTAATAGTTCTCACTATGTGTTATGGGAGTTTCCTTATACCTTTTCCTTCAGGAAATTTTGTGTGGGCTTCAGTGGAGAATAAGGATATATAAAATGACAGTCTCTTTAAACAAAGTAATTCTTTGGGAAAAATCTCCATCACCATAGAACCATATACTGTGATAACTCTGCCGACTCCCACACAAGAATCCACATTGTGTCTCCCATTACACCAAGAACAGAGAGAACTGGCGACACCTGGTCACAAGGATGAAAGCACACTGGGTAGAAACAACGGGCTCACATCAAGATAGGCATTTAGATACCTTTTTGCCTTAGTAAAAATGCTACGATGGGGTTGATGGCCACGTTCATCCTAGAATCATATGGCTAGACTATTGTGCAATTGTAGAGAATAAAAGGTATAGGTCTTTGAGAATAAACCAGCAGCTATTCTAATTCACCCTCAGATCCTGTCAATCTCCTTCCTTCATCGACTTTATACCTCCTCATTGGGACCTGAACCCCATTGGGGCTGGACTCTGGCAAATATATTAAAAAAAAAACAAAACAAAACAAAAAACCACAGCTCAGTTTCCAGCCCCACATGGCAGCATACATCTTGAATGTCAAAGTTCCAGGGAATCCAACCACCTTTTCTTGCCTTTGTGTGTGGACAGATATGCAGACAGATACACAGGGTCATGGGACAAATATACCTTAAGGAGAGCCTAATGGCAGGAGCCACTCACGTGGAAGAACTCTTCTATCCTCTTATGCCTGGACGCCAGGTCCACCAGCTGACTCTGTAGTTGGCTTTTGTGGTTTGGCACGATGCCCAGACCCCGTACTCCAACCTATACTGGGTTCCACCCACACCTGCACTAGTAGCTCCTGTAATTAGAGGCTTTTCATCCCACCCAGTCCTGCAGCCACTTTTAAAACAGCCACTCAGAGGATTAATATTAGTTATAAACTGTTTGGCCTATTAGCTCAGGCTGATTATTAACTACTCTATACAACTAGATTAACTCATTTTTATATATCTACGTATTGCCATGTGCCTAGGAAGTTACCTTATTTTTTACACGCCTTGCTTTCTTGGTGGTTGGCATCTCTCCGACTCTACACTTCTTCTCCCTGTATCTCTGCTTACATTTCCCATCTGGCTCTATTTTGTTCAGCTATTGGCCAAATCAGCTCCTTTATTAACCAATGGCAATAAAATATATTGACAGCATACAGAGGGACATACCACATAACTTCCCCGTTTCTGTCTAATCAAAAAGAAAGGATACAGTTACAATATTTAGTCTATTTGTATTTGAAAAATTAAAGGAAATACTCTATTCTATCTTTGCAAGTCTAAAGGAAAACTATAATTATAACTAAGTGTTCAACTCCATCAAAGACCACAGAAAGATTCAATATTACCCATGAAACTGAGAAGTGAATTGTAAGCAACTTTCAAAACTCTAAATATGACAGAGTTCTGTAGCACTGAGGCATCCAACTTTAGTCTACAGGCCAGCAAAGCAGGAAATTTGAAGCTGTTCTACCTATATTGGCAGTTTGTCAGTCATTTTTCTCTGTGCCCTGCAGAATGTCTGTCAGACGCTTCCATGAAGTAGGAACCCTGAAGTACTGTCCCATCTTGTTTTGCCAAGTTCGGTAGTCATTTTTTATCTATCCTATATGTTAAGTTTATACAACATACAATCAAGCAGTCCAGACAAGAGCAGTTTCTTATTCAAATGGCTAGCCCTGCCACATTGAAAGCAAATTCCATAAGGAGCTTCTTCGATACACATCATTCTCCCGAGCTAATTGGTATTGTCATGAGCAGACACGTCTCATGGTTGAGAAAAGTCTAAGCTCTTAAAATATTTTAAATGCCATATTCTGTAGGTCTTTGAAGTGTTTGAAGATTACCCATGTGAAGTATATCTTTGTATTACCTTGAAAACTGACATGACTACAAGTTTGACAGACGTGAGTAACTAATAGCTTGAAATTCTTCATTATCCTGACTAGCTTTTAAGGATTAAAACTTCATATTGCATAATTAAACAACCTTTATAGGCATGAGATGTATAGGTAGTGTCTTAAGCAAAAATAGAAACAGATATGCAGTATGATGACAATACTCTTAAATTTGTATCAATATACAAAAATGCATGCCAATGAAAATATGAGATAAATAATGATCTTTACATGTTATATTCCCCTAAGTATAACAAGCATCCATTATCCATCAAATAACCGAAGACCATCCATAAACCCCAACTCTTTGGAATGCAGATGTCGTTTTATGCAAATTACTACCTGCTGTCTGTGGATGAAATATCTTTGGGTGCCTAATAAATTTTTGAGATAATGAACAAGTTCTGGGAGGACCAGTGGTAACCCGTGTTGATAGACATCATCTGTCAGGGTTCAAAAGGTCTCCCTTGACCAAAGCTGGTCCATCTTAACCTGGAACAAATCTACAGCCTCTTGTTTCCTGTGGAATTAAGGCAAAACTGCTTCTCCAAAGTAATCCATCTTTTAATTTACATTTTACAAATATATTTTTGACTTGTTTTAAAGACAAGGCATTTAAAAAATATTTATGTTGGTATCTTTTCTAATTCCATGTCTCCCAGCAGCTGTCTCTTACCCAAAAGTCATTAAAAATTCAAAATAATATATACAATCAACACTCCCTGTGTATTTATCATCTTTATGTGGCTTTATTATCTTATATTATTTCTACTTTCTCCTTTCAGACTTCGACTAAAACTATTTATTTCTTTTTATAACTCTCTATACCCAATTTTTTAGCCTACAAAAAGTTTTCAAACATACTGTGACACATTTAGAGGTTTCTTTTGGTCTGAATCTGTCTTTATTGCATATCTGAAATCACTGAACAAAGTTTTAAATTGGACTGTTGGCCCTACCCAATTTGGCATTCCAATAGGGCAGATGTATATTCACTGAAAGTTCTGGTGATCACATTTCCTCACAAATAAACTTCTCTGTCATTCATTTGTGTTTCTGAGACTATGATTAGAAGTATTTAACTTCAGAATCAAATATCATGATCCAAAAATAATGGGATAACAGGATAAATACCATTTTCTATTGCAAATACATTTATTATTCAAATTATCATGTGTTTCTGTTGTTCTTGCATATAATGTTTACAACTTGAAAAACAGAACATTTTACCTATGGGATGGCTCTACTAATCTTACTGAAGCAGCAGTGAGATAACTCTGGGGGGGGGAATGCATGTGGATTGTAAGGCTTGGCATCATTTATTAATTTCATGGGGATTTTTATCAGTTTGAATGTCTTCTTGATTTTGAAGACTACTTCAATGTGAAAAGGCTGATTAGATTCATAATGTTAGTGTCACCTGATTTCTTTCTTGCCAGAAGACAACTGTTCTATATAAAGTCTTTACCACACTGATTGCATTCACAGAACTTGTCTCCAGTATGAGGTTTCTTCTATTTGAAGGTGAATGTTACTTGAGAAGTCTCTAGCACATTGATTATACCCAGAAGATTTCTCTGTACTATGAATTCTTTCATGCCTGTGAAGATGACTTTTACATGAAAATGCTTTATCACATTGGTTACATTCATAGGGTTTCTCTCCAGTATGAATTCTTTCATGACTGTGAAGATGACTATTGTGTGCAAAGGCTTTACCACATTGATTACATACATAGGGTTTCTCCCCAGTATGAATTCTTTTATGACTGTGAAGATGACTCTTCCTTGCAAAGGCTTTACCACATAGATTGCATTCATACGGTTTCTCAGTTTCATGACTTCTTTCATGAATGAGAAGATTATTTTTCTGTGTAAAGGATTTAGCACTAGGATTATATTCATAAGATTTCCTGCAAATTTGTGTTCTGTCATGACTGAGAAGATTACTCTTTTGTGCAAATGTTTTACCACATCGACTACATTCATAGGGTTTCTCTCCAGTATGTATTCTTTCATGATTTCGAAGATGAACTTTCTGCGTAAAGGTTTTACTACATTGATTACATTCATAGGGTTTCTCTCTATTATGAATTCTTTCATGTATGTAAAGACAACTCCTCTGTGCAAAAGTTTTACCACATTGATTACATTGATAGGGTTTCTCTCCAGTATGAATTCTTACATGATTGTGAAGAGAACTCTTGTGAGCAAAAGCTTTACCACATTGATTACACTGATAGGGTTTCTCTCCAGTATGACTTCTTACATGACTGAGAAGATTGCACTTCTCTACAAAGGCTTTACCACATTGACTACATTCATAAGGTTTCTCTCCATTATGAATTCTTTCATGAATGAGAAGCTTATACTTGTGTGCAAAGGCTTTACCACAATGATTACATCCATAGCGTTTCTCTCCAGTATGACTCTTTTCATGCCGGTGAAGACTACTCTTCTCTGCAAAGGCTTTACCACATTGATTACATCCATAGGGTTTCTCTCGATTATGCCTTCTTTTACATATTTGAAGATAACTGGGACTTGCAAAGATTTTATCATATTGCTGATATTCACAGGTTTTCACTACAGAATGAGGTCTGTGTACTTGATGAAGACTGGGATATGCAGAGACTTTATCATTTTGATTATATTCACAGGGCTTTTCTTCCAAATGAGTTCTTTGATGTAAAGAGGAATCATATCTAATTGCTTTACATTCATAGAGATTCTCATCATTATTAGATATTTTGCGTGTTTGAAGATACCTGTGATGGCTAAACGCTTTAGCAAAAAGCTCACATTTTTCACTTCCTCTTCCCAAATGAGTTTCTTCATGTCTTTGAAAAGAACTGGAAGATAGTGAACCTGTATAGACAAGTGAATTTCCATCTTCCTTGGTCTCATAATGTCTTTCTCCAAAGTGGGAGTGGAAACTTGTATCACAGTCATTATGTTTTCTTATAGTAGTGACCACATCATATCTTCTAATTGCTCCAGAAGAAACAGAGGTAGAAACCTTCTTTCCATGTCCCTGATGTGCACATGGCCTATATCCACAGTGACAGTTGATATGCCTATTAATGGAAGGATATCAAATAAAAGCTTGTCACATTACATTCACAAACTCAAACACTTTATGCCTCAAAGACATAGTATATAGATTCAGGTTTCTACACTACTATAAATTCCTTGTCTCTCATAAAGTGCTCCTCTCACTAAACTATGGTAAGTCACTCAGTAAAGCATATGAAAAACACTAGCTTTAATATGGAAGATTTGCTTATTAATGATCCTGGAATACTGTAATCCCCTATTAATGTGTATATCTTACATGATGATTGAATGGCATGACAGTAAGTGGATGGACAATTCAACATTATGCCACTTATGTGGCTATGATGAAAACTGTGACATCTCTTATGACATTGCATCCTTGTCTTATCCTTAAAGGAATGCTTTCTAAACAGTGATCAGCTACCTGAACTTGAACTACTTGGTGCTGTGATACTGTAATAATCATCACAAACCTGTGCTAATTTACATTGTTGCTATTCTTTAAAAGTTCAGGGAACACTAACATTTCTTCCAAGGTCCATATATATCTGCTTGCACATGCAATTACCTTCCGTGTCTTCCAGAACTTTGACAATGCTCTTCAATACTGTGGTCATTCCATTTGTACCCTAAAATACAGCACCAGAAAATGTATGAGATATATTACTGGAAATCAGGCACAACTGAAATTAGCATCTTTTGTGAATCTTTGAACAATGCCTGATTTACTCACTAGATTCTTTCCCCTTCCCATTCAAAATCACAGAAGAGCAACAATCTCCAAGAAAGGCTTGTCATCTTAAGTTGAAAACTGAGAGAAAGTTCACATTCCTACCTATGGAAGTGAGGTTCCAATAGGTTTCCAGCATCACATCTTTGTAGAGACTCTTCTGGGAAGGATCCAGCAAAGCCCACTCTTCATGAGTGAAGTTCACATGCACATCCTCATAGGTCACTGTGTCCTAAAGTATCCCATAGTGTACATAAGAGAAATGGTGAGACTGACTGTGTTGCAAAAGGGCACATCATTGAGAATATATTTACATAATTCATTGTTTAGTTATAGTCTATCACATGGGTAATAAAACACCAAAGGCAGTCACCAACACACTTTAAACAGAAACACAAAGGATAACCATGCTCTCCATATGTGTGCCCACAAAAGAGAACAGGGAACTGCAGAAGAAATGCCTAGTAATAAATACAGAGAGACATTCAAACAGAACAACACAATAACATCAGCAAATTTCATCAAAATTATTAACATAAAAAGGTATAGACAACATGGGTGTGGTGGGGGCCACCTTTAATCCCAAACCTCAGGGAACCAAGGCAGGTGATACTCTGTGATTTCCAAGTCAGCCTGGTCTATGTAGAGAGTTCCAGGACAGCCAATGGTACATAATGAGACTCTGTCTCAAACTAACAAAAAACAAACTCATGGAAATCATGCAGAGTTTCACTCGAAATTCCTCAATAAAGTTAAAACATTCACTCTAATTCTGTAGTTCTCAATCATAAACTGACTTGACCCCCTTGTAAATTGTAAGAATAATAATTCCTAGGGAGGAAAGCATTGTAGTAAATTACTGACAGACAGATTAAACAACTCTAAAAATTAGTAAAATAAATACTTACCGTAAAAAATCATAAAAATGATAGAGTATATAAAGAAGCATCAACAGATAAGATCACCTATTGCTTTTGAAGAGGTCCTAGATCAGTTCACAGTACTCACTAGAGGTTACCAACTACACCCATCATTAGGTCAAGAAAATCCAATGCTCTCCTCTGACTTCAGAAAATACCAGGAAGACAAGTGATAGTTCATTTACAACCACCTGTAAGTCCAGTCCTAAGAGATCTGACTCTGGTTCCCACCGACACCAGGTATACACATTAGGGCACCAGGAATACACATTATACAGGCATGTAAGAAGGATAACATTCATATACAACAAAATTATTATCCTAATAAAACAAAAAGTATAAAGGGACTGAAGATGTACTCAGTTGGTAACATTCTTGCCTAGCATGCAGGAATTCCTCAGTTTAATTTCTGTTCCATGTAGTGTATGAGGATTAGGATGCCTCTAATCATACCACACGATAGATGGATGTAGTAGAAATAGGACCAGAAGTTGAATATTATTCTTGGGGACATAGGAAAATTGAGGGCAGCCTGGGCTATATGACACACTGCCTTAAGAAACAGGAACACAAAAACAATCATACAAGAATATCCTAGGAAAAAGTAGAGAAAACCATATGGGACACAAGTTCTAGAGTTATGAAAGCCCACAAATCTGGAATAGGTATTGATTTCATACATAGGCAACAGAAATGGCAGCCTGGGTGTGGGAACCAAACTTTGCTGCAAATTTCATGTGTTAATTCAAAGCATCCAGGAAATCTGGGACACCATGAAAAGACCAAACCTAAGAATAATAGGGGACTCAGTAAATATATTCAACAAAATCACAGACGAAAACTTTCCTAGCCTAAAGAAGGACATGTCTGTGTAGATACAAGAAGCTTACAGAACACCAAATAGACTGGAATAAAAAGAAAAGTACCATTGTTACATAATAATCAGAACCCTAAACATACAGGATAATAAAAAACACTAAGAGCAGAATAAAGTTCAAGTATCCTGTGAAGGGAGACCTACTGGAATTATACCCAATTAAGATTTTGAAAGACAGAACATTTTGGACAAACATTTTGCAGATACTAAAAGACCATGGATGTAGCCCTGACTACTATACCCAGCAAAAGTTTCAGTCAACACAGATGGAGAAAACAAGATATTCCATGAGAAACCCAGATTTAAACAATACATATCCACAAATCCAACCCTACAGAACCTACTAAAAGGAAAATTCCGACCCAAGAAAGTTAGCTACATCCACGAAAACACAGGCAATACATGATCCCAAATAGCAAATCCTAAAGGGAAACACACACACACACACACACACACACACACACACACACACACACACACACTACACCAACAATAAAAAAACAAAAAGTAACAATCATTAGTCATTAATATCTCTTAATATCAATGGACTCGATTCACCTATAAAAAGACACAGGCTAACAGAATGCATACAAAAACCGGATCCATCCTTCTGCTGCGTGAAGAAATACAACTCAACTTCAAAGACAGATATTACCTCAGAGTAAAGGGTTGGGAAAACATATACCAATCATATGAACCTAAGAAATAAGTTGGTGTAGCTTCCCTAATATCTACCAAAATAGACTTCAAATTATAAGGATAACTCTCAATTTTGAACATTTATGCCCCCAAAATAAGGACACCCATATTTCTAAAAGAAACATTACTAAAGTTTAAATCACTCATCAAAACCCACAAAGAAATACTGGGAGACTTCAACACTCCACTCACACCAATGGACAAGTCTGCCAGGCAGAAACTTAACAGAGAAATAAGGGAATTAACAGATGTTATGACTCAAATGGGCTTAACAGACACCTACAGAACTTTCCACCCCAAAACAAAATAATGTACCTTCTTCTCAGCAACTCATGAAACCTTCTCTAAAAGTGACCACATACTCTGTCACAAAACATGTCTCCATAGATACAAAAAATTGGAATAACCCTCTGTATCACTTGAATCATCATGGCTTAAATTTATAATACAACAACAACACAAATTACAGAAAGCCTACAAACTCATGGAAACCAAATAATGCTCAACTGAATCACCACTGGGTCAAGGAAGAAATTAAAGACTTCTTAGAATTCAATGAAAATGAGTGCACAATATATCCAAACTTGGGTGATACTGTGAAAGCAGTGCTAAGAGGTAAGTTCATAGCACTAAGTGCCTACATAAAGGAACTGCTCACACTAATGACTTAACAGCACACCTGAAAGGTGTAGAAAAAAATAAACTCTCAGGAGGAATGAAATAATCAAATTGAGGGCTGAAATCAATAAAAAAGGAAGAGAACAATACAAAAAAAATCAATGATTTGGTGCTTTGAGAAAATCAAAAGCTATAGACAAAGCTTTATCCAAAGTAACAAAAAGACAAAGAGAGAATAACCAAGTCAACAAAATCAGAAATGAAAAGAACACATAATTACAGACACCAAGGAAATCCAGACAATCATTCAGCCATACTTCAAAAACCTGTACTCCACAAAATTGTTAAATCTAAAAGAAGACAATTTTCTGGACAAGTTCCACATACCCAAATTAAATCAAAACCAGATAAACAACTTAAATACACTTATAACCCCTGAGGAAATAGACACAATCATTAAAAGTCTTTAAAAAAAAAAAAAAAAACCCAGGGCCAGACGGTTTCAGTGCAGAATTCTACAAGAATTTCACTGAAAGAGCTAATACAATACTCTACAAACTGTTTCACACAATGAAAACTGGAAGAACAATGCCAAACTCTTTGTATGAGGCTACAGTTGCCCCGATACCCAAACCTAACAAATATACAACAAAGAATGAAAATTGCAGACCAATCTCCCTTATGAACACTGATGAAAAATAATCAATAAAATACTAGCAAACCTGATGTAACGGGGTTCTGTTGGTTTACCAAGGGAGGAGGGACATAGTTCTAGCTCCTGGGTAGATTTCTTCATGCCCTGTGGAATGCCATTGCCAAAATGAGGATGGAAACTCATCCACCAGTTTCCTTTCCTCATTCTTGTTGCACCCGATTTTAGGATCCAAAACTTTTGCTTTTTCTGACAAGTTGTGCCTTTCCTACTGGGATTGCTAAGTGAAGCCTGTGATACCTGCTTGCAGGTTAGCCTGTTCAGCTGTTTACACTGTGAAGTGGATATTGTTACAGAGAACACACCAGCCATGGCTTTCTCACACCCTGTGAATGAATGTGTGAAATAATCTGTAGTTTTACCTGCTGATACTGTCTATCCAAAGACAAATTTTGAATGTATTTTTCAACACCCCACCCCCAAAATGTACTGGCAAACCAAAATCAAGAACCCATCAAAAAAGTCATCCACCATGATCAAGTAGGATTCATCCCAGATATGCAGGGTGGGTTCAACATATGAAATTCTGTCAATGTACTCCACCATATAAAGAAACTGAAAGAAAGAATAAAAAAAAAAAAACATGATCATCTCATTAGAGGTTGAAAAAGCCTTCAACAAAAGCCAACAACCCTTCATGATAAAGCTCTTGGAGAAATCATGGATTCAAGGAACATACCTAAACATAATAAAGGCAATGGTCAGCAAGCCAACAGCCAACATCAAACTAAATGGAGAGAACTCAAAGCCATTCAACTAAAATCATGAACAAGACAAGGCTGTCACTTCTCTACATAGTTATCCAATGGAGTAAAAAGTTCTAACTAGAGCAATAAGACAACAAAAGGAGACCAAGAAGAAAGAAATTGGAAAAGAAGTCAAACTTTCACTATTTGTAGGTGATAGGTTAGTATACATAAGTGGCTCCCAATATTCTACCAGGGAAATACTACAGTCGGTAAACACCTTCACTAATGTGGTTGGATAAAATATTAACTCAAAAAAATCAATAGCTCTGTGGTGATATCTTGCTTGTAACAATAAAGCCTGTCTGAAGGTTAGAGAACAGAGCTTGCCACTAGCTAACCATAGAGGTTTGGAGGTCTGTACAGACAGGAAGTGAGGTAGCTGGGCAGAAACAGGATATTCAGGGAGACACAGGAACTCGCTCTCTTGTCTGTTGAGACACTAATGAGGTAAGGTATAGAAGTGATTTGATCCTTCTCTCTGACCTCTATATCTGACTCTGGGTTTTATCAAGAACTCTATTTAAATTTCAAAAAGGAGGATATGTGATGATATCTTTCTTGTATAAATAAAGCATGTCTGAAGGTCAGAGAATGGAGCTTGTCACTAGCTAACCATAGTGGTTTCTCGTGCGTATTAGCCAAAATAATTATGCAAAT